TTTTTGACAATCGACCGTATTATCTTGTTTAATCGTCATGTCAAAAAAAAAATTATGGCATTGTTTTTGACAATTGTCAAAAACAATGAAATTTTGAATCATGTAAAACGAAGGGCATTTTCATACGCTACGGACTGACTATATGCCAAAATAGATTGGGGCTGAATTAATTATGAAAACGTTGAATAGAACAATGTGAACTGTGTCTTTTTGCATGATTCGAAGCGAAAATTAACACAGTAAAGAAAAACTCTCATTTTGAAAAAGGGAAAATTAAGTACTTTTTAAAAACACCCAATGAAAAAAGCACCTTTAAGAGCTTTTAGAAAACGAAAATCGAAAATAAGCACCTTTAAGCACTTTTTAAAAGCGCTAAGCACCCTGTATAAGCATTTTTGATAATGCTTTTCAACAAAAGAAGAAAAAAAACTAAGACAATTTTAGTTGAGAATGATGTCATTTTTACATTTTAATAGCTATTAACAGCAACTTATATGTATTTATATATCTTTAATTTTATAAAAAAAAAACTTTTGGGGATAATGCGGGATATCTAAAAAACAATGTTTAAATCATCTCTATACATATTCAGGAATGAAAGTCTATAGAATGGTTGCCAACAAAAAAAAAAAAAAAAACCCAGTACATACTAAACATAAATTCGATGTTATTATGCAAAATCTAATAATATTTTATCCACAGGGATATAAAGATTTAGAATTAATAACACATTTATAAAAACTATACACTAATAATATTGAATGCAATTTTTCCACTCATGATAGACATTAAATAATCTTCAATATCGAAAAAGAAAAGCTTCAAGTTGATTAATTATAAACAAGGTTTTCTTCATGATTCGGTTATACTTAAAGAAAGCAATAATGTGAAAAAAATATTTTAAAAATTTCAGAATTTTTGATTAAAGCAGTACAAAATCGCAATCCAGACTTGAAAATGCAGTAAATATGGCATCTATACTATAGGGATACTTTTCTTTAGTCTTTCTTATCGCAAAATGAGATAGTTAATTCATATACCAGAAGCTATTTTTCCAGAAAAAAAAACCCACCAAAACATTAAATACAAATATAGATATTAGGTAATAATCAGAGTTAATAAAAGTATTAGCATTTTTTCAATTGTCTTAAATTTAATAAAATAAACAAGCTCATCCCAGTGACTCCAACTGTTACAGATCCTTTTGTAATCTCAGAAAATATTTTTTCGAGTGGCGGAAAATGTAATGTTAACATATTAGAATTAAAAGAATTTTGTCCAACAATGAACAAAATGTATACATATAAGATCATATAGATGAATGCTTAAGTTATGAAGTTCGAATACTTTTAAAATTTTTTATTTGTTTCAAAAAATTCTTCGTTAGTTCAGTACTAAAAAAAAATTTGCAAAAGCCTCAAATAGGAGTCTCGGTCATTCACATACTTAAAAACAATTAATCTTCACATCACACAATGAAAAAAGGTAGAATAAAAAATTAAAATAAAAATTAAGGCTTATTTACAAATAAAAAAAATTAATAACTTGTGTTTTTCATTTTTGGATTATCTCAAGCAAAATTTTAATCTTTAGTTTGAAGTATAAATAAAAGTAATATTTAAATGCTTAATAATAACAAAAGAAATTTAAATCAAATCTAATGTTGATATTTACAATTAAAGAGAATTTAACAATTTAAGAAAAACAGTTTTCAATAAATAAATATTTCTCATTTGTTGTGACAATAAATATATTAATTTTTTTAAGCTTTAAAAATATTTCACATTTTTTTTTCTTCATTTTTTATATTAACATTGTTAGACTTATGCAAAAATTTAAATTGTTCATAGCTCTTTCGCGAAAGTTTCTGAATATTAAAGGGCTATAAAGAATATAATTATTTAGGATTTCCATATTTTTTAAAATTTTAAGTGATGAAACACATTTACCAAGTCAATTTAAACTAAGTTATTTAATTTATTTTTTAAAACATTTTAGCATTCTGTACAAGTCTGACAGTTTGATTTTGCATTTAAAAAATCAAATTAGTGATTTATTTTTTAGATAAAAAGCTTTCTTTACAGCTAAATTTTTCTTGTTAATATATACAATACATAAGCATGTTTCAGAATACTTTTTTCTTTGGACTTTTCTTAGAAAATGAGATCTAATTGAAAGCTAAAGGTTGATTCTTCATTGCTCGTATTCATTATTGCTTAAATTTAATGACAAAAAAGCATAAGCAAAAAAATATTCTTTTTAAAACTGAAATAACTTAATTTTATCAAATTAAAACACCTAATATTTATTAAATAAAAAAACAGGTTAAATTGTTTAGACAAAATAAAAATTTATATTTTCCAAAAAATATGTTTTAAAAAATATATTTAAAAAAAAAATGCTGCCCAATAGCATAAAAGAACCTGGCATTAACAAAAATGGCTAAAATCAAAACCTTACTTATTGAAAAGTAAAATTTCTAATAATACTAAAAAATAAAATAAATAATTAATTAACTTTTTAAATATATGTCACAGAACATACACACATAAAAATGGTTAATAACTAAAAATAGCAAAATTTGAAAGGAAAAAAAAAATCTGAAAAAAGTATATTAAGCTTCAAGGAGTTAAAATTGCATGTTATTCCAAATTATGCAATTAAGTAAAAGGACAACTAAGAATACTTAATATTTAGCTCAGAAGCATATATACTAGGGGGAAACCAATTTTAAATTGAGTGTCACAATGTTGTAAGAAATACTTTTTTTTAATTGTATTTCAGTTTTCCATTAAACACAATGTATTTATTCCCTACTTCGGCAATGGTAGCCACTGCAATGGATCTAAAAATACAGTCATTGATAAAAATATGATTTATACTAGGTGTGAATAGTTTCGCCTCACAGAGTTAGGCACAAATTTGTGAAGATAAATATAGATTCAATCCAGTCAAGTGGTTATCATTAGTGCTAGGCAATATTAAAAAAACTTTTTAAAATATTGATATATTGCCAAAAAATATTAACATTTTACAATAAGGGGTAATATTTAATTCATTTACACTGGACAGTAATTTTGTTACCCGAATCAGGATATTTTTTCTTTCAAAACTGTAATCATCACAATTTTATCGTATTTAACAATAATCACCATTAATAATGATGTGGTACTTTCATATCAGACATTTATCACTATCAATAGCGTCAAAGCGACACTGAATATGATAGAACCTCGATCAACCGTTTCTCAGTGGATTAATTTCGAACGATAGATACGGGAAAACGACGAATGTGAGTATACTTAAATTACATAATGACTTGAAAATATATAAAATTAATAAATTTGCAATAAAGAAAATAAAAAATATTTTAATTGAAAAAATTATGCACTTTCTGCAAAAATATTTACAATGTAAAAAAGGGATAAATAGATTTATTTATTTTAAAAAATTGTAAAATTTTGGGTCTCTCTTTTCAGCATAAACAAATTTTGTACACTTGTTACAGATTGCTGTTCCTTTTCTGAAAGTTTGTATGAATAGAAAAAAGCTCCACATTGTTTTGAGGCCTTCCATAAGCATTTGTTTTTATCAGTCATCATTGGTATTCATTTTACAACTTTTGCAAAATATACCTGAAACGACAACACCACAAGTTTCTACATTTTCATCAACTAATGCATAAACATCAAACCTGTTAGAGGCATTCACCCAAACTATAGCAAATCCACATTTTCTTCTTCATTAGCATCAGGAGTTACTGTTTTTCTTGTGAAAACATATTAACCTTAATATCTTAGCTAAATGCTGCTAGTAGTTCTGAATGATAGACTGAATCTGCTAGTCCTGAATCTGCTAGTTTCAAAAACTATTGATACAGTCAATATTAACATTATAAGAATAGGATTAGTGACTGGTTAAAACAATACGATACAGGAAAATGAAAGGTGTAGGAACCATGGATCAAGGTTCTACTGTATTGTAAATAAAGAAAATATCATGATTTAGTCACATAATGGTTTAATTTAACAATATATCACGATATTTTACTAATCTAAATTATTTTTACACCAGACAATGTTACTTGTTACCAAATAAAGATAAAACTTTTTTTTCCTTCTTTTTTTACAAAATTGTCTAAATTTCAATTTTAACTGAAAAAAAACTAGCACTCACAATAAATTGAATTCATATTCACACTACATCAAGATAGTACATTTTAAAACGTCATCATAAAAGCAAAAAATATCGATATTTTATGATAAATCACTTCTAGCTCTGGTGATCATTTAAACCAGTCAAGATCAATTAGAAACAAAACAGTCAGAGAAAGGCACATTAACTAAATGACATTTTTAAATATATTTCATGTCTAGCTATAAGATATATTTTTTAGTTATCTTCTAGCATTCACTATGCCTACATATCACATGAATGTATGAAATTTTAATAGTTATTAACAGCATTTTAAACTATTAATCTTGGAAAAAAATTTAATTACAAACGAAAAAAAAAGGAACTGCTCTCAGGCTTAGCTCATAGAATTCAATGAAATGTTTATTTACAAGTTTCAGAAAATGGCACAAAATACCTAGTGTTAAAAATTATTTGTAACGAGAGGAAAATCAAATAATCAATATGTCAAGTTAAAAAATAAATAATCAATATGTGAAGTAAAAAAAAATGACTGTTTTATTAGTTTAGATTTTTATTACCTAATAATCTCTTCAAGACTAGTAAAAAATAATTTCACTCTGAAACATATTGCTTAAATTACAAACAACATGTGATTGAATAATATATTATGCGAAATAGTAATGCAGTTTTTATTCAAGTTTAAATAAATGTTAAAAGCCAAAACAAAAATAAATAAAATAAAGGAAAAATTTATTTCATCAATATAAAAGTAAAATAAGAAAATTTCATAAAAAAATGCTACACGAATGTCAACATTAAATAAAAATGCACTTCTGTATATAATTTTAAAAAATATCTTAAAACCTCAACAAACAAAAAATCTAAAAACATTAAATCTAGCTTTACTTGCGGCGAAACTGCTGCTCTCCACATATAACCTCATTCATTATACTACTTTTCTCCAAATGAAATAATTCAGGTTATTTTTCAAATCATAGATTTTAATAGCATTTTCCATTGTGTAAATATTTCGTAAAATTCTATGCCTTTACCTTGAGAACGTTTCCCTACTAAGTACCTTCAATTTAAAAAAGAATTTTTAAGCTTTACTTTAAAACATTTTAATAGTAAATAAACATTGTGATTCCACATTTGCCATCATTCTAATTATTAAAATATTTTTATATAATGCAGAGCTGCAGAGTTATGAGCAGATATGTTCAACTTCTAACTTTTCTAAGATTCCAACTGACTTGTAGCCTATTAATATTTATTAGTTTTATTAATGAAGTGCTATTAAGTAAGTGCTAATTATAAATTATGTATATTTCAATTTTTATTATGCAATTACATTTTTATTACATCATAACAATTAAAAAAAAACTATTATGCAAAATGCAAAACCATTGAATGAAATTATGCAAAACCATTGTAAGAAATGAGCTAGAAATTATAAATATATGTTAGGTAGTTATGTTATGAGCCATAAATTATAAATATATGAAATTAAAAATATATGTTACAATAATTTTCATGCACTCAAAAGACTTCCTTTTTTTATTTTTTTATTTAGCTATAGAATCTAACTTTTCGGCAACGTTAAGTAAATTTTTCTAACTTTTGCAAAATTGACATCAACTCAAACTCCACGGCTCTGACATAATGACAAAAACAATATAACACTAGACCTAGTAAAGAAAAGTTTTGGGCGAAAGCTCATCTTATAGATATAGAACATTGACTAGTAAAAAAAAAAGCTTTTACTGAATTAACACTTCATTTTTATAGTATCTATTTATGAAAAACAATAGAAAAAATTTACAAAACAAAAATAAAACAACTATGCTATTTTAAACAACTCAATAACTATCACTAACCTCATAATATAAAAATACAAAGCTGTTTTCATGATGTGAGTCAAAAACGGGGTAAAATTTCACCTAATATGTTACATATTTTCCATGAAATAATTACAAACAAGAAATGCAACTAAAAAATAACACAAATATCTCAATGCAATATAACAACTCTTACATGACCCTAAAGATGAAGACATCAAAAGAGAAAATAATCAAAGTTGTTACTTTTTTTTATACCTTTTGCTACATATAGGGGAGAGAAATTAGTATTACATCAAAAGATGCGACAAAAAGTTATTTTAGTAAAAATGCAAATGGTAGTTATATTAAATGCAACTAGTAAAGTAATACTGTTATTAAACATGCACTTTAAACTTTCATAAATACCACAGATTTAGCGAAATGTAGAATGAGTTTATGCTATACAAATTTTAACAGTGCAAATATAAAAATATTTTCTCATAAATTTATATCTTACTTAAATTTATAAGTAGTATTAGAAATTCTGTACAATTGTGTGCTATTAAGCTTACAAATTTCAAATAAATAAGGGTGTACAGCTAAAACAAACTTCATTATACATTACAAATGTAGTCTATAAAAATAATATTAAAAAACTTGCCTCACATAATTTTGTACCCAAAGTGCCTGAGATTCCTCAATAATACAATGCAATTATACAATACCTATATAACATTACAATTAAAATTGAAACTATAGATTTAATTTATTTAATTAACTTTCTTTTCTACACTAGGTTCTACTAGATCACTTTGGCTTAAATAACCATTGGAAAGATCTGATGTACTATCTGTATGACTGTGTATACCATTACTGCTAGAAAGTCCATTTTGGTTTGTGCAACTATTTGCAATTTCGCAGGAAAAGCTGTGACCGTTCATTGTTGCGAAGCCATTTTTCAATGTTTGTGCAGTTTCATTTCTTTCGGTATCTTTTGCTTTGAGAGCTTTAGCTTTGCGATATGTACTTCTATAAAAATCAGCAAAAAGGAACCAGAATAAAACAGAATGGAATCCAATCCACCATGCAAAACCTTGTGGATAATTACAATCTCTGAACAGCAATTGAAATGCGTGAGTGAAGATCATGACGAATTGAATCTATAATAAACAAATAAAATAGGTCAGTTAGAACAAAATTTTTTCAGATTAATAGTGAAAAAATTGTTTATGAAAAAGTTTTGTACACATACAGGATGCCAAGGTATAACTTGGGCAAAGCTTCAAACTAAGCATTTTTATCAAAGACCAACATTTAAATCAAGTATAAATCTAAACAAAGTAGGTTGCATCATCTATTATGTAGCTTCAGCATACAGAGCTAAATGGACAACACAACAGAATGGTACAAGCAGGGTTGACCGAGGAGGTAATAAGTACTGGTACAAACAGATTAAAACCAGCATGTCAAAAACCTCTTCTTGCCACATAACACTGTAAATTATTATATCAAGTTTTTACAATAATGAAATGGAGTTACATTTTTAGTTTACTTAAATGACTTATTTAGTAATTGCAAGAATTATTAAAGATTTTTTTTTCTGCTTAAAACCATACCAGCATAATATACTTGAACACACAAACATCGTTCGCAGAAAATTTTTCTTCATCGCGGAAATTTTTTTACTAATAACTAGAAAAGAAAAAAATAAAATAATGCGCCTTTTCATAGAAAGTATGTCTTTTTCGAATTACCGAGGAGGGGAAAAAAATTCTTTTTACGCTTTTTCCTAACAATGTAAACACGATTTAAAATTACATTCACATGATTTAAATTACACATAGAGATTTCTATTGACAAGATTTAAGATTGTGCACAGTGTTTCGAATTTTCATAATTTTATATCAAATATCGAGCTTCGTAATCATGTGATTTAAAAGCCGCCATTCAGATTCCGGTTCAAGTGACTTAAAAATTAGATATTGAAATAAGTATTTACGCACTTTTAAAATTAAACATCAAGATTCATATTAATGCGATTTTAAAATCAAAAATCGAGATTATTATTCACAGAATTTTAAAATTAAATGTGGAGATTCGTATTCACGTGGTTTAAAAATCACACATTGAGATTCATATTTACACAATTAAATACATAAATAAAGTACTTGTATCGATTTTTTAATTAAAACATTAATAATATTCTGCGGATAAATGTTTCCTACACACACGTTTTCTTGATCAAATTTCAGGTATTTTTTCATTTATTTAAAAAGTGCTTTAAAACATAATATTTTTGAATCTCTATTTTCATCTTTTTTTTTTAACAAACTCACCTTTTAGTTTGAATCAATATTGAGTTCTATAAAAATTTAAAATAAAAACATTTTTTAAATAAAAACATTTGATATTTGTTATAAAATTATATGATATTTGTGTGTGCTTGATATTTGTTATAAAATTATGAAAATACGAAACACTATGCACTATTTTTTTTAAAAAAAACATTTTTTAAAAAACTGTGATTTTCAAACTAATTTCACAAAAATGAGGTGGCGATAAAAGAGTTGAAACTAGTTACAAGAGTAAAACAATGTGCACAGAAAATTTTTTATTTGAGATTTTGTGTTTGCAAAAAGTTTTTCGTTTTATCTATGTCTGGTTATAAATAGTTTCTGCGACTGACAGGGCAAAAAACAGCTTCTGACACTTTTATTGGCTAAGAATGACAACCTTATTCACCAGTCTTCAATCCAATAGAAATTATAATTAGGCTATCTTGAAAGCTAAGAACTGTGCCATAACTTCTAAGACTTTGGTATTCTTAAAAATAATTCTTATGGGAGGAATGGGAAGAAATATTAGGTAACTTTGTTTCTGTAGCTGAAAATTGAAGCATGTTTACTTACAGCTTTGTGAAGACCAAAGGTGACTCTGAAACTTTTGTGAATACCTTACAGATAGTAATGTTTTAATTTTATTGAAAAGTCTGGATGTGATATTTCAATATGCATTGAATTTAAAAAGCGTAAGTGTCCCAGATATTTCTTACTACCTTGTACTTTAAACATTTTAATATTTCTAAATCCTTCTAGATCTAGGAAAGTTAGATAGAAAATACTTGTGAAAATATTGAAAAGAATTTCCAAAATAATAACGTATATACAGAAGATATTCATTTTTTACAACCAAAGTCTTAAAATTATAAAAAGATTTTACTAAGAAACTTTTTTTCTTCCCTAGAATGTTAAAAAATTTTGTAATGAGTAATCAATCCCGTAAGGTAAAATTTTGTGATGAGTAATGTATCTACCACGGTAAAAAATTCTTCCTCGAAAGAGATGACTACTGATATTGTATTACCTCTTTCCAGAGTAAAACAACTCTAAATAATCAAAAACATATGTGATCACTTAATGTTTTCCAAAACATTAAGAAAAAAACTTAACAGAAGAATCAGGACAGTTAATATATTTGAAGAAAAAAGGAGAATTACTGTAAATAAAACCTGAATTAAAGTTAATATTTCAAACAGAGTACAAAGCCAAATTTTTCAACAAAAAATAAGCACCTCTTAAAGCACTCAAAAAAATTTTTTTAAATCATTTTAAAATAAAATCATAATCAGGATATGTGCAGCAATAAAAATTATTTCTTCCTTTTGTTAAAAGTTGTGTATTTATGTACATAAAAACAAAATGCATACACATTTCCAGATTTTGAAAAATTATGATAAAATAACTAGTTTCTGATAAATACAGCAAAAAAAAAATTGTGAAAAACATGATTTTTTTTGGAAAGAAACAAATTAAAGCACTTTTTTACAAACCCTAAATAAAAAAGCACTTTTAAGAGCTTTTAAAAAACGCAAATCAAAAATAAGGACCTTTAAGCACTTTTCAAAAATGCTACACACCCTGTTAAAGACTTAATTTTCCTAGTTAAAGAGTTAAATTATAATAAGGAAATAAATTATTTTTCACAAACTCTAGTTAAATGTTGTCTGCAGTTTATATACATGCCATAATAAGAATAAACTTGGAAGATAAAATGGATATTTTTTTAGTACAGTTGTTAAATCAGGGATGAGATTGGCCAAAAAGCAGAATTTCCAAGAGAGTAAATTTTACAAGTGTGCAATAGTTTCATAATAAATTCCAAACAATTTAAGATAATAAATAGCTGTGTGCTGATATTGTAAATTGTGTACTAATTTATTAATATATTACAGAGATGCTAACTGCTCCGGACAGGCCATAATAATTTAAAAAAAGGTAAATAATTACAAACTAAAATTTGCGAGTATTTAACTAATAATTTTTTTTTAATGGGTTTACTTTTTAATGGGTTTAACATGTCTGAACGATATTGAAGTGGAGAATTATATAACTAATTGAATTCTTTAGAAATAGTGGTGGATAAAAATCTAATAAATTTTATTTATTAAACCAAGAATCACAATTCATAAACTATCACTCAAAAATATTTATTCGCTGTCCGGAGCAAGTTGACATCTCTGATATTAATGATTACATCAATACTTAACATTTAGTAAAAAGTAAAATTACCAATTGAAAAAATAAAGCTGAAAATTATATTTTTCTTCAGTTCACGTAAAGGAGACAATTATTACTTGAGAAACTAATAAGTTTATCAAATTAAAACTACTGAGAACATAAATTAAAATTCCATTTCTTTAACAAATACTATTACATGATATATAGCAAATATATCAGTAACATGACTTTTTAAATTATTTAGAAAAGAAACTTTTAAATTGAAATCACTATGTTCATATTATAATCTAATCTAGCTAGAGCCTTGATAAAAAGATGTTTGACAAAATATCCAAACTTTCAACTCTTCAAATCAAGAATTTTAAAACTTATGTTTGTATTGGTAGAAAGTGATATTTTCTGAACACAAAAAAAATTAGGAATATTTTGACAAAAAGCTAAAAATCAGGACAAATTCCTGATGAAAAGAACTTTGCATATATAACAACAAAGAGCCCTGCAGTAAAACATCTTAAATGGTTGAATGAAATAATTCATTCATAAATCACACGATGAAATTTAATACTAATATGGAATAAAAGCATTTACATTTTTACAAAATAGAATTCAATGAAAAGTACATAAGGTTAATCTCAGATGCTTAGATATTCATGAAAAAGAACAACTAAAACTAGTTAAGAAATGCTTAAAAACAACCTTTTTGTTTTTTCCCAAAGACCATAAGGTTACATCATGATAAAACTAGCCAATAGAGTTTAATTTTCAGACTTATTCTCTTAATAAAATAATGTATCTGCTAAAAATTATATTCACAACATCAAAGCAAACAAATTTTCTTCATAAACAAATCTTACCATTTGAATTCTGGTCATATATTTTTTCCACCACAGATACTTATTCATATGAGGTCCAATTGCAGCTAAACCATAGTAGCAGTACATTAAAACATGGACAAAAGAATTTATGAATGCAAAAAATGTACTATGGCCACCTATAAAAAAAAAATTATATTATTTTACCAATATAAAACAATTGAATTTTGAAATCCCAAATAAGAGATAAAACAAATTTGGTAACTTTTTTCAACAATATTTTTTTATATCAAATACGAAGTGTAAACAAACAAAACACACTGAGAATTTATTTGAGTGCATGCAGTTAAATATAATAGAAATGTCCTACAATATTATGTAAATGGTGTGATAATATGAGTAATTTTGTATTTAGGAGCCCCAAAAATTGTCCTAAACCTAGAAACATCCAAAAAAATTATAGTTAAAATTTTAGAACTTTAGTTGTTAAATTTGGGTCAAAAAGAAAAATAAATAATGAATTCTTTAATCCAGAAATTTTTCTAACCAATCAGTTAAATTTTACAATCTATTAATAAACAATTTATTAATAAATTGTTTATTAATAGATTGTAAAATTTGAAGCTAATTACCAGTAGCTTATAATTTATAAATTTATTAAAAATTAAAATATCAAAGAAAAAAACCCCAGCCATAGTAAAACTGAAACAATGCTTTTTATGAAAATATACTATTTTAGTAAATTAAAAAAAAAAAAAAAAAAAAAAAAAAAAAAAAAAAAAANAAAAAAAAAAAAAAAAAAAAAAAAAAGAAACATTGAAACTACCTATAACAATACTACAGCATATTTATTTAATAGCTTACCAGTGTTCTAGCATATATAGTAAAAATTACTGTTTTTTATAATTTCACAAGAGTTGAAAATATGTCTTTGAAAAATCCTTGTATTACATATACTTCAAATAAGTTTGTTGCAAAAAATATTAAAAAAAAATTTATTTAAATCGTAATTAAAAAAAAAGCACTTTCATGCAATAACAATACAATATGTAAACCAAAGATCTGTGAGAAGCTTTATAAGAGTAAAATTGTTTAAAGAAGACATTCTAATAAAAGAAAAGAAAATATTTAACAATGAAAGCCATTATTCCCACTCGTAAAAAACAAAGTTATATGAGTTCATTAAGTTTTAAAGTTGAATTACTATTAAAAGCAGATTTCTCAGACAGCTTTTTATTTTAATATATTAAAAGTTATGCTTTTTTTTATTAAACACTTTGTCTTCGCTTTAAACAATTTTAAGCATAAATTAATAAAAAAATTTCAATTCAATTTAATGAAGTTGCAAGAACATAAAATTCAAAAACGTAAAAAAAATATCCCCCCCTTAATATAAAAATTAAAACAATTTAATTTATTTTTATTTAAAGCTTAAATATACCGTAAAAGTTTTACTACATTTTAATTTCACAAATCATCCCAAGTTTTTATTAGTTTTGACACCTGTCATGTCAAAAAAAAATTTTTGAACCCTGTACAAAGCAAAAAACTAAGATATACAAATTGTTACATCTTTTAAAACAACATAATTTTAAATTACAATATCTAAAATATGAGCAAAATTAGTAAAATAGTTTTTGAGAGATAAGAAATTAAAAAGTTACTTTTTATTTTATTTTCATTATTCTTCACTCATTTTATACACAGTATTCTTTAGTTGTTTATTTACATTATTCTTAAAAATAAATGAAAAAGCTAGAATAGTTATTAGTTTCACTTTTGTTTGAAGTATATTTAGATTTTTATTTACATTGAGGATCACATAATCTGAGGATTTATATCATTATATCAGAGCTGCTGAGTTGAAGTTGACGTCAATTTTGCAAAAGTTAGAAAAATTTAAGGAAAGAAGTAATAAAGCTTTTATCATAAGTCTGAAAAACCCACACAATTCCAAAAATAGAACTCTTTACAACAGGGTTTGTTGATTTAAATCAGCTTGATTTAAATCACGATTTAAATCAGGATTTTTTT